AGAAGAACAGCAAGGGAGAATTTGCCTTACTTTATTAAAATTATCAAAATAGAATGATATTAGCACAGAGAACCCAGAAATAAATCCAAGTGGATATTAAAATTAGTTCCTGACAAAGGTGGCAACTTTTTTGTTTTTTAAGGAAAAAAATTTTTTTCCACTTCAGTTGAATACTTTTTTGTTTCAGGTGTACATCATTATATTTCAATTTCTGTGTAGATTACATGATGTTCACCACCCAAAGACTAATTACAATCCATCACCACACACATGTGCCTAATTACCCCTTTCGCCCTCCTTCTTCCCCACTTCCCCTCTGGTAACCACTAATCCAATCTCTGTATCTATGTGTTTGTTTGTTGTTGTTTTTATCTTCTACTTATGAGTGAGATCATATGGTATTTGACTTTCTCCCTCTAACTTATTTTGCTTAGCACAATACCCTCGAGGTCCATCCATGTTGTCACAAATGGCAAGATTTCATCCTTTCTTATGGCTGAGTAGTATTCCATTGCGTATATATACATCTTCTTTATCCATTCATCCCTTGATGGTCACCTAGGTTGCTTCCAAGTCTTGGCTATTGTGAATAATGCTGCAATGAACACAAGGGTGTGTATATCATTACACATTCGTGTTTTCTTGTTCAAAGGTGGCAACTTGATGATGGTTTATTCAATTAAAAATTCTGGCACAATTATCAATCAAACTGGAAGGAGACCAAGTTAGACTCCTATCTTGTGACGTAAATAAAAAATTCCAAATGTATCAGAGAATTAAAAGTGAAAACCAACCAAACAAACATAACAATAAAAACAGTAGAAGAAAATTGGAAGACTATTTGGGTAACTCTGGGTTGGAAGAGACTTTTTGAAGTAAGACTGGAAATCTAAATGCTATAAAAAAGAACAGAAAAGAAATATTCAACCTTAAAAAAATTTTAAGTATTTTAATGTCAAAAACACTAAAACCAAAGTCAAAAGAAAGTGATAAACTGAAAAAAATCTGTTAGATATATAACAGAAAAGAGATTATTATCCCTAATATATGAAGGCTTGCTAAAAATTATCCAATAGAAAAATAGTAGTCAGGGAAATGAAAAGAAAGCATCATATTGGCAACTTTAAAATATTTAAAAACAATGATAACATTCAGTCTTGGTGGAGTGTAGAGAAACTGATATTCTCCTATGTTAATGGCAGGGGTCCAGACTGTTACAACGTTTTTAGAACGATATCTAGAAATATCTACAAAAACCAAAATATACATACCTTTTGAACCAGATCTCACATTTAGGAATTTCTTTCAGAAATAAAATCATAATTACATAAGTATTTATGTCCAACACATTGTTAATAGTGGCAAAAAATGGAAACAAACTAAATGTTTATCAACAGGGCTATGGTTAAATAAATTGTGATACATCCAAATTATGGAATGAAACTGGAGGCCAACTTTCTTTAACTATACTCAGTTAGCTGTCTGTTTGCAAAAGTAGTTAGATAATGCATTACCAAAACCCACCCTATAGATAACATCACTGATGTTTGGGTCACCATGGTAACAGGGGCTTGAGTTTTTCAGGAACTGAGAGTCGACTTCTTGTCCAGTTCAGGCTGGTTAAGACCACTGACCCTTTGATGTCAAGGACCCAAGACCTCCACCCTCAGATCATGGTAATGCTGCCATTTTGTGAACATGCATCTAATGAAGAGCCTTTAAGCTTGACTATGCTTGTGCAGATCATCAATTACCTTTCTTCTCCTTACCTCCAATCATCTATTCCCACACTTCAGACCACACCACCCCTTTATCCCATAAATATCTCTAATTCCCATTTTTCAGGGAGGCAGATTTGAGATTTGTTCTCCCATCTCCTTGCTTGGTTGCCTTGTGAATAAACTAGTTCTCTGCTGCAAACTCAACATCCTGGTGATTGGCTTTTCATGCAACAGGCAAAATGGATCTGGTTCGGTAACAGCAATATTTAATAATATTTCATAAGCTGTTAAAAAATGACTTAATTCAACTCATTTTTTGAAGTCAGTATTACCCTGACACCAAAACCAGACAAAGACATCACAAGAAAAGAAAACTACAGACCAATATCTCTTATGAATATAGCTACAAAAATCTCCAACAACATACTAGCAAACAGAATCCAGCAACATATTCAAAGGATTATACACCATGACCAGGTGGGATTTATTCTAGGAATTCAAGGACCATTTAACTCCCCAAAATCAGTTAATATACTACATCATATTAATAAAATAAAGGACAAAAATGATATGATCATCTCAATAGACAGAGAAGAAAGATTTCACAAAATCCAACACCTCTTCAGGAAAAAAGCACTCAGCAAACTAGGAATAGAAGGGAACTTCCTCAACTCGATAAAAGCTGTCTACAAAAAACCCACAGCCAACATCATATTCAATGGTGAAAAACTGAATTCTTTCCCCCTAAGATCACGAGCAAGATAAGGATGTCTGCTCTTACCACTGCTATTCAACACTGCACTGAAGATTCTAGCCAGGACAACTAGGCAAGAAAAAGAAATAAAAGGCGTCCGGGTTGGAAAAGAAAATGTAAAACTATCTCTATTTGCAGATGATGTGATCTTGTACGTAGAAAATGCTTAGGATCCACACAGAAAAAAAAATCAGAACTAATAAATAAGTTCAGCACAGTTGCCGGTAACAAGATCAATATGCAAAAATCAATTGTATTTCTATACATTAGCAGTGATATTGTGATATATAATAAGATATATATATTGGATTTTCATCCACTGCTCCTTGCACAGAGCTCTTAAAATCCTTGGAATTTCCTAAGTGATAAGAGTGATAAAGGTGTCTTTTGTTATTCATAACAAGTCTTTTTCAACCACACCTGAATTTATGTTAATGAGATGACTTTTAGAAAGCCCCTAAAGATGGGGCCTGGTTGCCAGGGGGAACTAACCATGTGACTAGAGGGTTGGAACTTTTAGTACCACATCCCTGACATCTAGGGAGGGAGAGGGGCTGGAGGTTGAATCAATCACCAAAGGCCAATGATATAATCAATCGTGCCTATGTAATGAAGCCTCCATAGAAACCCAAAAGGACAGGGTTCGGAGAGCTTCCAGGTTGGTGAACACGTGGAGATGCTGGGAGAGTGGCAGGCCCAGAGAGGGCATGGAAGCTTCATGCCCCTTCCCACATACCTTGCTTTATGTATCTCTTCCATCTGGCTGTTCCTGAGTTATATCCTTTTAAAATAAACTGATAATCTAATGAGTAAACTCTTTTCCTGAGTTCCATGAGCTGCTCTAGAAAATTAACTGAATAGCTGGTTGGTCAGAAGCACAGGTAACAAACTAGACTTGCAACTGGCATCTGAAGTGGGGGTGAGGGACAGTCATGGGATTAAACCCCTAACCTGTGGGATCTGATGCTATCTCTAGGCGTATCTACCTGTCAGAATCAAGTTAAATTGTAGGACACCCAGCTGGTGTCAGAGAATTTCTTGATGTGTGGAGAACCCACATATCTGGTGTCAGAAGTAAAGTAGTGTTGTAGTAGAGTATCGATAGTAGAGGAGACACACAGGAGGAGTGGTTTTCCTTTACATTTTGGTGGCAGTGGTGGGATTAACTAAACCAGCCCTGGGTCACAGAAACACGTGGTTTGGGAAGAGAAAGGAGGAAAGGGCAGAGCAAAATAAAGAAAACAATTCATTTTGGGATGCCCGATGGTGTAGTGGTTAAGTTTGGCACACTCCACTTCAGTTGCTTGGGTTCACAGGTTCGGATCCCAGATTTGGACCTACACCACTCATCAAGCCATGCTGTGGTGGGGTCCCACATAAAAAATAGAGGAAGACTGGACAGATGTTAGCTCAGGACCAATCTTCCTCACCAAAAAGAAAAAAGAAAGAAAGAAAAGAAAACGATACATTTACAATAGCAACAAAAGAATAAAATACTTAGGAATAAATTTAACTAAAGAAATGTAAAACTTATACTCTGAAAACTACAAAACATTGTTGAAAGAAATTAAAGAGGACTTAGATAAATGGAAAGACATCCTGTGGTCATGGATTGGAAGACCAAATATTGTTCAGATGGCAATTATTCCCCAACTTGATCTAAATTCAATGCAATCTCTATTATAATAGCAGCTGGCTTCCTCACACAAATTGACAAGCTGATCCAAAATTTCATATGGAAATAGAAGGGACTCAGAATATCCAAAACAATCCTGAATAAGAACAAAGTTGGGGGACTCACATGTCCTGATTTCAAAACTTACTACAGTAACCAAGAAAGTGTGGCACTGGCAGAAGGATAGACATAAAGATCAACAGAATAGAACTGAAAGTCCAGAAATACACCCTCACATTTACAGTCAATTGCTTTTCAACAAGGGTGCCAAGACAATTCAATGGGGAAAGAATAATCTTTTCAACAAATGGTGCTGGGACAATTAGACATCTACATGCAAAAGAATGAATTTGGATCCCTTTCTCACCCCATACACAAAAAGTAACTCAAAATGAATCAAAGACCTAAATATAAAAGGTGAAACTATAAAACTCTTGGAAGAAAATATAGGAGTAAATCTTGTGGCCTTGGTTAGGCAAAGTCTTTTATGTGACACCAAAAGCACAAGCAACAAAAGAAAAAAATAGATAATTTGGACTTTATCAAAATTTAAAACTATGCTTCAAAGGATACCATCATGAAAGTGAAAAGATAAGCAATGGAATGAGATAAAATATTTGCAAATCATATATCTGCTAAGGGACTTGTATCCAGAATATATAAAAAACCCTCACAACTCAATAGTTTAAAGACAAATAACCTAATTTAAAAATGGGCAAACGATCTGAATAGACATTTCTCCAAAGATGATTTATAAATGACCAATAAGCACATGAAAAGATGAACATCATTAGCCACAGGGGAAATGCAAATCAAAACCACGAGATAAAACTTCACTCACTAGGATGACTATATTAAAAACCAATTAAAAAAAAATAGACCATAATAAGTATTGGCAAGGATGTGGAGAAATTGGAGCCCTCACACACTGCTGGTGGTAGTGTAAAATTGTACTGTCACTCTGGAAAACAGTCTGACAGTTCCTCAAAAGGTTAAATATAGAGTTACCAATGACTTCAAAATTTCATTCCTAGGTATATCACCAAGAGAAATAAAAACATATATCCGCACAAAAACTTGTACATGAATGTTCATAGCAGCATTATTCATAAGAGCCAAAAGGTGTCAACAATCCAAGTGTCTATTGACAGATGAATCGATAAATAAAATGTGGTATATCCATTCAATGGAATATTATTTGGCCAAAAAAAAAGACTTAAGCACTGATACACGCTACAACATGGATGAACCTTGAAAATATGCTAAGTGAAAGAATCCAGATACAAAAGACCACTCATTATATGATTCCATTTGTAGGAAATTTCCAGAATGGACAAATCCATGGAGACAGAAAGTAGATTAGTGGTTGCAAGGGGCTGGAGGAGGTGTTGGGGAAAGTGGGAATGATTGGTAATGGGTATGAGCTTTCTTTTCGAAGTGATGAAAATGTTCTGAAATTGATTATAGTGATGGTTGCATAACTCTGAATATACTGAAAATCATTGAATTGTACACTTTAAATGAATGACTTCTATAATATGTGAATTATATCTCAATAAAGCTGTGATTTTTTTAGAAAGTGAGTTAGCTTTATATCCATTAACTTGGAGAGATGTCCGTGATATACTTTTAAGTGAGGAGAGAGAGTTCTAAAGTAATATATGCACTATGACTCCATTTTTATGTTAAAAATGTGAATATATGTTTGTACGAGCATGAAAAAAATTTCTAAAGGATGTATACCAGGCTGTTAACATTGGAGTAGGAAGGAGGGGGTTGGAGTCAGCAGGAGACTATTAACTTTTTCTTTATACATGTTTGGATTTTTTCACTTTTTAATTGAGCATATAGGATCAGGTATCTAAAAAAAGTGAAATAAAGAATGAAAATAAAATCATTTAAAAAGAGATTGGGGACAGTGAGAAAGGGAATTGGAGTAGCGGAGAGAGTGGAGATGGAGAAAAGGAAATAAGGCAACTGGGTTTGCTGGCAGTGATGACACCTTGCCCTAAAGCAATAGAAATGAAAAGGAGACAGAGTTCTAAGACATGGTAAAAGTAGCAGCAAGAAATAGGACTTAGTTACTGAGTGAAGATAAGCTCACTGGAAGAGAAAAGGAGTTGTTGCTAATCCAAGATTTCAGGCTGGTCTACAAATAAGAAGATGTTCCAAGAATTTGGTTATGAGTTGGAGGCACTAGCTGGCTCATCAGATAGAGACTCATGACGGATGGGTTTCTTTTTTATTTATTTATTTATTTATTTATTTATTTATTTATTTATTTATTTATTTATTTATTTATTTATTTATTTATTTATTTATTTATTTATTTATTTATTTATTTATTTTTTCCCCCAAAGCCCCAGTAGATAGTTGTATGTCACAGTTGCATATCCTTCTAGTTGCCGTATGTGGGATGTGGCCTCAGCATGGCCAGACAAGCAGTGCGTTGGTGCGCGCCCGGGATCCGAACCCGGGCCACCAGCAGCAGAGCGCGCGCACTTAACCACTAAGCCACGGGGCCGGCCCCGGATGGGGTTTGGAGAGTCATCTGGAAAGGGATAACATCACCCAGAGGGAGAGATCTGTTTTAGAAGAGAGAGGACGGAGGGCACAGTACTGAGGAGCACCTCCCCATATGGGGCCTTCCTGTGAAGGAATACATGAGGAAGTAGTCAGAGGGGAAAAGGGAAATCCAGGAGACCTGTGACGACATCCCAGGAAGAGAAGGACCAGAGAGTTTCAAGGACAGGGAGGTGGAAGAGGAGTCTGTACAGCACACAACGGAACTCGGTGCCTGCAAGGTCTTTCCTTGTGGATCTACAAAGCAGCGTTTCCAACAGAGTGGGTGCGGAATCCAGCTTCCCGGAGGGCTGAGAGTAAATCAAAGATTGGACTAAAGAGGAGGTAGCAAATGAAAACTATGCTTTTGAGAAATTTCTCAGCGAAGGGACAGGAAGTAATGAAATAGCAGCTTGACTGAGAAAGCAGGATCTATAGAAGGCGTTTTTAGGATGGAGAAAATATGCCCATGTTTACAGAGGAAGAGCCACTCGAGAGGCAGGGATTAGATACCCTTCCGAGAGATTCTTGGGAGACGACAGAACAAAGAATACCAACTGTTAGAGTTAGGCCTGGAAATAAAGTGAGGACCTTCATCTTCTAAGAGGGCAGACAGAGAGACAATTATAGAAGTTAAAAGATATTTCTGGTAGAGAGGAGAGGAGTTGAGGCTCCATCCAGGGGTGATATTTAAAATATTTAACAACCAGTGCAGATTGGGCACTAGCTATCAGACACTGGCTGTGCACCAGGATCCGGGAGGCCCTCTACTCCGTTCTGTGTTAACTCTTTCGTCGCTGGTCATGGCAAGGTCTCAGGGTAGAGGCTGGGGCAGCAGAGCAGCAGGCAGCAGAGTGGGGCAACAGAACTACAGGCCTGAAGCAACATCTCCTAGCTAGAACTTTAAAAGACTGAATAAGAATTATCTGAATTCCTCAAAAACAGTCATTTGTGACAAAAAGAACATCATACTATAAAACGCTTAACCTTTAGCTCTCTGATTTAGAAGTTTTTTTTTTTTTAATCAAATAAATAATGGATGCCTTCCATAAACTTAATGCACGTTGGCAAAAAGTCCAAAGAGAGGGGATTGACTGAAATAAAAACTGTTCACACTCTTTTGGCTTATTCTTTTGCAGAAAACAACAGTCTCATAGTTCAAATGGGGAAAATGGGATTACAGTGAATTTCAGAACAGTGAATCTGGTGCTTAGTTGAGGTTCTCCCTCTGAGCACCAGTCACAGACCTCTTTGCAACTCTGCTCCCCCCCTGGAAGAGGAGAGCGAGACAATACCTAGCACTCAAGAGAATACAGGAAAGTGCTTGGGGATTCCCATATC